GCAAGGTTTAAAATTAAGAAAGGTGTGGTCTGATTTGCATCTTTTCACCATACTTAGTCAATCTGTATGCTGAGCAAATAACCTGAGAAGCTGGACTGTATGAAGAAGAATGTGGCATTAGTATTGGTGGAAGACTCATTAACAACCTACGATATGCAGATGACACAACCTTGCTTGCTGAAAGTGAAGAGGACTTGAAGCACTTACTGATGAAGATCAAAGATTACAGCCTTCAGTATGGATTACACCTCAACATAAAGAAATCAAAAATCTTCACAACTGGACCCATAAGCAACATGATAATAAATGGAGAAAAGTTTGACATTGTCAAAGATTTCATTTTATTGGATCCACAATCAAGGCCCATGGAAGCAGCAGTGAGGAAATCAAACGACATATTGCGTTGGTCAAATTTGCTGCAAAAGACCTCTTTAAAGTGTTAAAAAGCAAAGATGTCACTTTGAGGATTAAGGTTCTCCTGATTCAAGCCCTGATATTTTCAGTCGCCACATATGCATGGGAAATCCAAACAATGAATATGGCAGAGAGAAAAGGAACTGATACTTTTGAATTATGGTGTTGGCAAAGAATATTAAATATACCGTAGGACTGCCAGAAGAACAAACAAGTCTGTCTTGGAAGAAATACAGCCAGAGTGCTCCTTGGAATTGTGGATGGCAAGAGTTCGTCTCACGTACTTTGGACACACTATGAGGAGGGATCAGTCCCTGGAGAAGGACATCATGCTTCGTAAAGTAGAAGTTCAGCAAAAAAGTGGCTGCAACAATGGGCTCAAACATAACAACGATCGTGAGGTTGGAGCAGGACCATGCAGTGTTTTGTTCTGTTGTACATAGGTTTGCTAGTAGTCAGAATGGACTCAAGAGCACCTAACAACAGCAGCAACAACAACAATTTTGAGTTCTTTGTGCATTCATACTCTTTGCTTTCAACATGGCATCCCACTGCTCCATTCACCAGAATGATGAGGATATTTTTTTCAGGAAATTACAAAGCTAAATTTTGTATATCACTTTTGCTCTACCAGTAAATACTTCTGGTTTAAATTGCAAGTAATGTAAAATCAATACTTTCCTTAAATGAAGTCTCCATGTTTTCAGAAATAGAAATTACAGTTAGTAGCATGTATAATAAAATTAGCACAGTGCACTTACCAAAATAATACATGGAGATGTTGGGCAGTAGGCAAAAAAAAAAAAAAAACTTATAAAGTGTGTATTACTTGCAAAATATACTGTAATCTAGGAGACTTTGAAAGCAAGGAATTATCAGGAAAGCAAAGCTACGACATTCATAATTTTCATGGGTCAAATTGATAATATCATTCTCTGCAAGTCAGTTGAGATTCTGACATAAATGACATTTTAACTACAATAATTCAGAAGGTTGTGATTTCTAAAAAAGAAAACTTAAGATCTGTCTAAACACTATTTTTATACTATTTTCACTTGAATTATATTTTTCAAACACCTGGATCAATTGATTCATATATATATCTATGTATCTACTTATGTATCTATGTATCTACCTATCATCACCTATCTACCTATATATACTAACAAATCAGAGACATTTTGCTTTGCTTTTATTCACTTAATTGTAAATTTTAAACAAAAGTCACCATTACACTTTCATGATTATGGACAAAAAATACCCTACTTCCTTTATGCTGTCTCCAGAATAGAAGATTATTCCATTTTTCTTTCTTATTTCTTATTTTTTATTGTTTGTTCTTAATTATGCTATCCCTTCTTTTTCTCCCCTTTTCTTTCAAACATTTCTAATTTCCTTTCCAACCTCACCTTAAATTAATTTAGCTCTTGTTTTCTTCTTTATCTAGTTCTACTTTGTTCAGCTATAAGTGCCAATCATAAAAACTTTTTTGCAATGAGCTATAGGTGATCTAAAGATTCAAGTCTCTAGTATATAAAGAAAAAAGTTTAAGAGAAGGCAAGAATTCTTGGTTGGAAATGGAGATAAAAGAAACTGAATCATGATTTATAATTCATGATTTATTACCTATCTACTTCAAAAGACAACTGAGGATGACTGATTTTCTCAAAATAAAATTTGAAATTCTTTCTGTGTGTTCCTTAAGAACAAAGAGAAAATTGCCTTTGGTAAATATCATACAGCAATAGCTCATTGCAGAAAGTGCAGAGAAGTTGGAAGTGGTGTATTTTTTTAAAAGTTCATTTTTATCTTTGTCTGTATTGGAGTTTCTCCTTGTTAATCTTCAAAGAAGCCAGAGATGAAGCTGGAGTTGGACTGCCTCCATTTGCATCCTGATTCTTCCACTCTCTAGCTGTGAACTATTGGGTAAGTTACTATTCTATGCAGCAATTTCATCAATTAAAACGGAGGATAATAGTATTAACCTAGGTCATAAGGTCACAGTGAGAATTAATTGAGTTATAACATATAAATGGCTTAGAATAGTGTCTAGTACTTAATACTTAAAAAACCCAAACTCATTGTCATCGAGTCAGTTTCAACTCACAGTAGCTATTATTATCATTGAATTTATTATTCAGAAATCTTAAAACAATTAGCTTGTTCAGGACATTTATGAATAGGTTGTTGCCAGAAAACAAATTTATTACATTTAAAAAATTCGTAGAGTAATTAATTAATCCCAACTTCAATGAGGAACCTAGTGGCTCAGTGATTAAGAGACAGGCTGCTAACCAAAATGTCGGCAGTTCAAATCCACCAGCCACTCCTTGCAAACCCCATGGGGCAGTTCTACTCTGTCCTATAGGATTTCTATGAGTGAGAATTGACTAGCCAGCAATGGGTTTAATGTCAATGAAGTTTAGATTTCTAAGCTAAAATTAGATAATGTAAGAAAAGTTAAACTTGAAAGTTTTTCCAACTTTTGAAAAATTTATTTCTGCATTAAACCAAAATATTTGACATTTCTTTTCTTTCTTTTTTTCAACTATACCAAATACATTCATTTAATGACTCCAGAAATGCTGGCCTGACTTGGAGCTTATAGAGAGAGATGTTAAAGAACAGAAATTATATATTTTATTCTATGATTCTAAAAACCAAGAAATAAAAAGGATAAACATTGTAAATTTTCAATGCATTTATTTTGAAGAATAAGTCTTCTGATTTCAAAATAAAAAATAAGTCCCTTGCTCTGCAACTTATTTTAATAAGTTATTTTCTCAAGCCATTTCAAAGTATAAAATTTTCATTAAACAGTAAACTCCAAAAGTTTTAGTTCAGTACATCACAGTATTTTTTTTCCTTAGTGAACAAAATATATGCTCTATTTATGAAGAACATTAAAAAGCTAAAACATCAGTTTTAAGCCAAATTTAGCATATAACATGAAACATTTTCATTAATTGTAAAGATTACATATATATGTATAATATTTTTTACAATTATATATTACAAAATATATATAATCTGTTAATTGTTTTCTTCTTTGGTGTCAAGTATACGAGTTATCAGAAAACCATGTATTAGGTAATTTTTCAGGATATTTTGAAGGTTAACATCAGTCCATGGAATTTTGAACAAATAAGTAGATTCACTGAGTACATAGATGAATTAGATTTTTAATATGATATAGAATCATTTTATGATATCAGATTTCAAACCAAAGCTTACATTTTTAGACAATTTGCCAATTTCAGTGACGAGAACCACAAAATATGTAACAGAGTTTGACCTTGAAAAGAACTCTTCTTTGTTCAGTTCTACTGCATGTGTTAAATTTTCCACTAACTATAAAATGCATTTTGATGAAATGAAAACTTAAATGTGTTAGAATACAATGTTGCATATTTTCCAGCACAAGGAAAAGCTTTACCCAAATAGAAACATGAATGTATCAACGCTGTATGCATTAATATATTGCATACCTACACATCTTCATGTTAGTTATGTAATTATATTCATCTCTTGAATATCTAATATCTGATTAGTATTTCTGTGATTATGGGGTAGAGGAAGAGAAAGAATATATGGCTGTTCATCCAGGACTCAGAGGAGGTTTGCAAAACTAATGCAAGTCGTGGTAAAGTGAAAATAAAAAGTGCCTTTGGTGTATATAAGAGGAAAAACTTAACTGTGACTGAAGAAGCCACATAAATCTTCCAAAGAAACAAATTTTTTGACCAGAGTCTTGGAAAATAAGATTTTCAATGTGGTCAAAGACAGGAAAATCATTCCAATCAAATGACACAGCATGTTAAAATACCTGAAGGTGATCAACAAAACCCTCAGAAATCTGTGTGAGGAATTTTCAAATATTGGGTAGAAAGTTAGCAGAAGTCTATGTTATGACATACTCTATAGAATCTAGAGATAAGAAATATGTTAGAGGATTTTAATCAGGTGGGTATTTTTTTAAAATCAAATTTGTAGTTTAGGTGGGGCATTTACATGTAAAATCAGTAACTAACATTTGGAAATAGACAAAGGTCTTAAGTATATGATCTGTGACCTTCTAGTTCAGTAATTTTCAGCATTATTTTTAATATGTCTTGGATGTTAGCGGTGATCTCACTCTCTGAACCCCAGATCTTGGGTAAAGCTATTCTAATAAAATTATCTCAGGCTGAAATTCTTTGGGAACTCACAGCCTGGATACTTGCCTTTTCCTTCCCATCCCCTTTCCCATCCTTACTCTCAGTCACATACATACTTCCTGAATATGTGATAGCATCTTTGAGGAAAAGCATGGTACATGCAGATCAAACCATGACCATGCCTAGGGTTAATATTTTCCCATCTTTTTTCAATTTCTCAACCTCCAAAGGTCTTGTGGTTTTGTGGTGTTCTGGATGCCTTGACTGTCTATTATATGCCAAGTACTACTATCGTATTAATTTCACAAAGTAAAAATGAACATAGAGGATAGTTTGCTCAATTTTTGCAAGTTTTTAAATTATATATTTGCATATGAAATTTAAATGGACATCAAAGATATCAGCACCAACCATATACCCCATAGGGGAAAAAGGGGCTTCTGTCATGTGAGTGAAACAAATAGAATAGGGCACCTCAGTTGCTTTTCATGTGGAATTGTCATCAAGAGATTTTGGGGGCATAATATTTGTTTTCAAGGTAGCTGGTGATTGTTGGTTATAGCACCCTTGTTCATTGATCAAAATAACAGACTAGTTCAACAACAACAAAATCTTATAATTAAAATGTCTTGGTTTTATAGAATAGCATACAGACTACACAATATGTTCTTTTTTTTTGAGAATGAAGTGATTTATTCTGTCAAACCAAAAATGCAAATTAATATAACATGTATTAAAAACACTGACAAATTACAGTCCAGGAATTCATAACCCTAAGCTCAGGCCAGTTGGTCAAGAATGGTCGGCACATTTCACTTAATTTTATTTATTTATTTCAATATCCTGTTTATCATCATGCTTCATTTCCCAGTTTGGAACTGGGAATGCATATTGGAATTCAGCATGACCATCACTGGCTAAATTCTTTTAAATTGTATTTCCTCTTTGTTGTGAACAATAAAAGAAGAAATCTATAAACCAGGTTTTTAATTTCTAATTCTAAAGCCCAGTTCCTTTTCTTTCTTTTTTTTTTTTTAATATTTTATTGTGTTTAAGGTGAAAGTTTACACAGCAAATTAAGTCCCCATTTAACAATTTCTACACAAATTATTCTCTACAATAATTATTCAGTGATATTGGTTACATTTTTCACAATGTGTCATCATCCTCATCATTCCTTTCTGTTTGTAGTATTTCAAGTCCTCTAGTTTCCCTGGCCCTTTACCTTTTCATCGTTCCTTAAGAATAATTTTTAACCATTTGGTCTCATACAGATGATTTTTTTAAAGGAGCTCATTACTCATGGGTGATATTCTTTATTTTATTATTATTTAGCTAAATGGTGACCTCAAGGGATAATCTTGGTTTAAGATTTAACGAGCATCTCAGGGTGACAGTCTCGGGGACTATTCCTGCTCTCCTTAGGCACAATTCCGCTCCTACTGGCACTTTTTTGTTTTGTTTTGTTTCTATTGTTACTTTCAACCAGGATCTGACACTTTCACTGGGGATATCTGGCACCTGTGATAAAAATGTCTACCTAATACAATGGAGCCTTTATGAAACAGAGTGCACTTAATATGCAGAATATGCTAGTGGTATGATATGCCTTCTGAAGAAGTAAACCAGTTATATTCTTTCACCGTTTTGTGTTGTAATTTACCACATTAGTACCAAAACACAGTTGCTATTATACTATAAAGATCTATCATGCTTTTACGTAGATTTTTTTTAATCCGTACATAAATCTCAGATGTGACATCGTAGGGGGGTTGGATGGGAAATAAAATGTTTGTGAGACATTCTGAATGCAACATTTCCAATCCCCCAATACTTCCAGCCAGAGAATGACTTTGTTACTTGACCACATGTGAATCCTTTAGAAGGAAATTTCTCCAAGAACTTGTAGAAGATTTTAATTAGTTTTGGCAGTTCTTCCCTACCAGGTCACTAGGCATTGTCAGATATAACTGAAGCCCAGCATTGACACCACAAGTGTTTAATCTAGAACTCTTCTACGAAGCTCAGAAGGTACACATTGCCCTCAAGATAATATTGTATTCTCCCATGTACTCATTCTTCAGACACGTCTCACTTGTGACTTCCATTTTACATCCTCTCACATAACATTAATAGACTAATTGTACTGCTACTGGATTTACACTTAGTTATTCAAAAGTAATCTAATGAAGGGTGAGACAGTACACAATACGGGGGAAACTAGCACGAATTGTACAACGAAAGGTCATGGAAGCCCCATAGACACATCCAAACTCCCTGAGGGACTGAATTGCTGGGCAGAGTGCTGTGGGGACCAAGGTCTCAGGCAACATTTAGCTCAATTGGCATAACACAGTTTATAAAGACAATGTTCTACATTCTACCTTGTGTATGGCCATCTAAGATACTCCACTCGTCTCATCCCTTCGGGAGCAAGGGAGAATGAAGAGAACAGGATACAACAAAAAGATTAGTCAGAAGGACTAATGGTCCACAGCTACCAAGGCCTCCACCAGACTGAGTCCAGTACAGCTAGATGGTGCCCGGCTACCACCACTGACTGTTCTGACCAGGATCACAACAGAGGGTTCTGGACAGAGCTGGAGAAGGATGTAGAGCATAATTCTAACTCACAAAAGAAAGACCAGATTTACTGGCCTAAAGGAGACTGGAGAAACCTCGAGAGTATGGCCCCCAGACACCCTTTTAGCTCAGTGGTGAAGTTATCTCTGAGGTTCGCCATTCAGCCTGGGAGTGAACAGCCCTGTAAAACCAAATGGGACTAATGAGGTACAGTAGTCCAGGGACAAGAGCAGGAAGGCAGAAGGGGACAAGGAAGGTGGTGATAGGGAACCCAAGGTTGGTAAGGATATTGTTGATGTGTTGTGAGATTGTTAACGATTGTCATAGGGCAACATGTGTAGTAACTGTTAAATGAGAAACTATTTTGTTCTGTTTCATCTTAAGTGAGAATAGCAGCACAGTTGGAAGAGCGTAGTCAATGTCACCGAACTGTGCATGTAGAAATTTTTGAATGGTGTATCTTCGGCTATGTGTATTTTCACCAAAAAAAAAGATTGGGAAGTTAGAGGGTTGATATGTTGTGGGGTTGTTAACCAATGTCATAAAACAATATGTGTACTACTGTTTCATGAGAAACTATTTGTTCTGTAAGCCTTCACCTGAAGTACAATAAAATAAATAAATAAATAATCCAAAACCCTCTCCATAGTGGTGTATTATTGTATGTGTAGGGGCAAGGGGCTTATGAACGGGCACATGAACTTCCTAAGATATACATTTGCATTTATAGCTTCATTCTCTAAATTGTATTGTCATTACTAAAATCTTTGTAAGAAAAGAAATTTTTTAGTTTAAAATACAACTGTATTTTAGCAGAATTTTACCAGAAATTTTGGCATGTTTTCCAAAATTCTTTTTTTCCCCAGATTTCTTTTTAATGGGGTGTTTATTAAAAAATTTTCAAATATTTTTTTTCTTTTTTAAATTGGGCATCTCAGAAAACTTAGTGTATTGGTGGCTACCTATTAAATGACTAACAATGCCTGCACTATGAACTGTAGCTTTTCATTGTTAGGTTAAAGAAAATTTTGAGAGAAAGAAAATCTTCCTAGATATTGAATTAAAAATGAAATATGCAAAATAGTTAAATATAAATAAATAAAATCCAACAAAGCAATAGAGGAATTTAAAGTAGGAAAAACAAATGGAGCTATTTCTCTACATACACAAGCCTCTATCTAAAGTCTCTTGGAAATTTCCTTGCACTTACTATCCAGACTCTAAAATCCACATTAATATGATAGATAAAATGAATTTGAATTTCAAGGATAAACAAAAAATTATAATACAATTCAAACAAAGAAATATAGAAGAAATGAATAAATACAAAAATATCAAAATGATTTAATATGAATGGTAGTAAGAAAAATGTACAAAAAGAAAAGCATAATAACATGACAATAAAATGATAAACTGAGTATCAGTAGGGATCGAAAAGGTTAAAAATGGATTTTTAAAATAGAGAGGCCCATACTAAGTATCCAGTCAATGCTTCCAAATGAATATTATGCAGAGGAATTAAAACTTTAGTTGTGAAAAAGCCTATATAATATTTATTCCACCATAAAATATCTGATATAGCACAATACATATTACTTCAAATATAAATGGATACATTGCCCTCATTTATGCATATGTAGTTTGTACATATTTTCACAATTATAAATTAATGAGTAAAATCATATATTTGAGCTACTGTATTTTCATAATATGAAGAAAAAAACTCGATTCACTAACATAAAAAATAAGCAATTCTAGTTGAGAGCTCACAATAAAAGATTCTGTAATAGAAGATATTATCCAAATGCCTGGAGTCATTAATCTCTGACAAACTGAAAGAACAGAAATTCTTTTGCCTCAAAATATACTTTATTTCAGTATGCCCATCCAGTCCACAATAGATAGGCTCAGCAGAACCACTTTTATCCTCTATTTGAATGCAGATTTCTAGATGTCAAATTTAGAATATCTCAGGGATGCTAATTTTCTCTACATAAATATCACCTTACATTCTGGTCTCCTTATAATTTTGTGACTCCTGTGAAAGGAACAGTCTCTTTACTAGGACTTTGAAAATAGTTTCTAAAATAAACATATCAAAGACGAACTTTGAAATTCAGATTTGAAGACTTACTAGTTTTAATTATTTAAAGGATCTTTGAATCATAGATTCTCTTTATTTAAAAATATATTTTCTAGAGAAGTTGAATTATCAAAGTAACACAAAAATATTATAATTTTGTTTGCAACTGCTTTTGGCCACTTTCCTTCTGATAGGCTTTTTTTCTTTTTCCACAATCCCTCAAGGTGATACTTGAAATTACATAAAGAAAAAGTTCAGTTCTCAATTTAGTGTATTGCTTATATATTCTATTACAAAGTTGCTTACGTATATGCAACATATTTAGCCTCAATTAAAAGTATGAGGTAAACAAATATCCTTTCCTAGAACTTCCTGCAGAGAAGAAAAAGTGGGCTTTTAAGGACTTGAGCTGACCACAATACTTTCAGTACTCAAATCACAAAAGTTATTGAAGAGCTGTCACAGATAATTCTTCTCCATTTTAGTATCTCTCTTTTCCCTCTAGAACACCTGGCCCCTCTATTTCCCTTTGTGGTATTACACTCCACAGAAAATCAGCAGAATCTGGCTAAGCAATTAATAGAGTTAATGGTGATCATCACTGAGTGCACAGGTATAGACAGTAGCTAATAAAACCTTAAAGTGCATTTTTCATAAACATTGTGTGAAACCTCCAATGACATACAGAAAACAAAATTCTGAAAGCTCTAACAGGTGTCACAATAAATATATTGGTGATCTTGTTTGGTATCCTCCAAAGTAAATCATTTGGTATATACTGCTGCTCCATGGAGTGCCACTGGAAAATCAATAGAGAAACATGTTCAAAAAGTTGCTGATCTTCTAGGTTAATAAACAAGAATAATGTTCATAAATTAAAAGGTCCTGGAGGCAGGACCAACA